TATGTCCATATAAAGTCATATCTGTAGAAATTTCTGAGAAAAAACGAATTTCTCAGAAAGAAACAATAGATGAATTTGAGTACTTAGATCGAGCGTCTTCGATAGGAATCAAATTGTCAATCGGAGTTGACTCACCCCGCGATCTGGGCTCCGATCCCGTTACAATTTGTAACGAGGAGGGAGACCAATTAGAGAACGGGGGCAGATCGGCATCGACCTATCGGAATGTTCGATCTGGGACTCAGAAAAACTTATAAAAATCGCGCAAAAATAGGATGTGACGTTCTTGGTTCTAAGTTCGGTGTGCTCCGCTTCTGGATTTTTCCTGCGGTTCGTCGTCCCGAAAGAAGTTTTCGCCATCCTGTCCCAGCAAGTTTCGCCAAGGGTAATCTACTGCGAGAATCACCCCTTCAAGTCGTGCTGTGCGCCCCGGAGCCTACGTTTTCCTCATCATCTTCGCCAAAAGAAGAGAAGATCGTAGAAAAAATTGAAATTTATTTACGAACTGATTCACTCTGTGGATAGGTCTTACGCCGAAGAAAACAGTCGTTGTAAGCGAAATTTTTATATTTAATAAATAGTTTGCGATGGAAGACCTGTCTCAGTAAGTTTTTCCACTCCCACACAACAGTGCTGACCGCTCGACTGTCACGACACTTTCTCCCCAATCGGCAAACCTCGCATATGTATCAAATATTTCATTGTTAATTCATTATTTTAGGATGTTTCCGTTTTCGTAATCACGTAAGATTACTGGATAATTTAATTTCTACATTCATTTATGTTATTGCTCTCACTGTGTTCCAGATTGTACTTTCTGAGTACTTTGTCAATAATATACAGGCTATGCATGCCCGATACCCTAAAAAGTGGGTTTTCTGTAGGTACGATCTCAAACGCATCAAAATATAATGCATTTCCACGCTAATACCGTACATAAATATTTCCAGTTTTTCTGTTGTCTGGCCATTAATTGCGGGTTATTATGAAATAGTGATCAGAAATTGTGTCAATTTATAAACCGAGACCGTGAAAGCTCCCAAATGTTTAATGTAGAATGAAATAAAGTTGCCATAAACACTTACAATTAGCCAACTCGGCCCAAATCCAGCAAATAATTTATAGCAAATCATATAGCAGATCTTATTCTCAATGGATAGATGGAAACAAAGAGATCCTTACTCGAACCGAACTCTCGCATTCTCCACTTTTCGCCATTTTACACACCTTCTGCATGGATCTAAATGTAGAAAAAGAAGTATAATTATTCATCGAAAACGTATAACTCGATTTGAATTCCATTAGGCCTACTGTAAAACATATTGCGACGCTATATCGATCGGCTGTAAATGTTGGCCTACAAAGAATGAAAGTTAGATTATGAAATTTTCTACTAATTCATTGGTTCGGTGACGTTTTGAATTCAATTTTTCATTCAAAATAGCTTATTTTTTCATTTCTATTTTAACTTTTCTCCAATCAGTAATGACGCTGGCTTACGAATAGGCCGATACATCGCCAAACAAGACAGGAAAGTTATGCGATTCGCAAACATTTCCTACTCGTGTTTGTGTTTAGATTTTAATACTATAAAATTTTTGGCGTAAACGATACTTGGGCTTGGGATTACTCGATTTATTGCCAATTTCAGAGGCTAAATCGAACTTTGTTCGCGCATACAAAATCTTAGTTCTTAGCGGTAGCACATGCTCTTAAAGAACGACCCGACTTTCTTCAATGTATTTCTATCCCGATATTCACGGGTGCTGTATTGGTCAAGATTATCTTGCACGCAATCTTCGTGCTCAGCCGGGTCTTCGTTTGCTTTGGTGTTTCGTGGAGGAACCGCGCTCTCTCTATTGTTCACTCTTTCATCCTCCACATCTTCGACCAATCTATCATTGGTCGAACAAGGAAAGAAAGAATTCGCAATATAATAAATATATAATTTTCAAATTGAATTACGATGAATGGCGAGGTTGAGGCCGAAGTTTTAAACGCGAAAATGTGTACGTCGGACGTTCATTGCCGCTTTCCTGTTAGCCTAGAAGTTTGACAATGGTGTTTGGAATGTCGAGCATGATTCCATTGACTATACAAACACCATTGTCAAACTTCTACAGGAAAGCGGCAATGAACGTCCGACGTACACGTTTTCGCATTTAAAACTTCGGCCTCAATCTCGTTAATATTTATAAATGGTAACACTTGGAAAACATTTTCTGTAATTTGCCACGAGGGTAAGAAACTATTAAACTTGTTACTATTTATTAAAAATTAAGACGATGATTCTTCGTATTTCTCAGTATAACTCCGTCGTTAAACAGCTCATACATATTACAGGCCGATGATTCTTCGTATTTCTCAGTATAACTCCGTCGTTAAACAGCTCATACATATAACAGGCCGTTTGACAGGTTGGTCTTACCTTCATCACAGCTTGTCTATAAGCAGACTTGATGTTATTTTCAAAAATGTCCAAACCTTCGAATGCACCGGTCGAGGGTTCTAACTGCTTCAATAGGCCTTTCTTCATCTTGCTGCCTCGAAATTTAAAATAATCCAAAATTGTGTGGACTGACGAATCTTCGCACGTCCACATATTTATCCAATCCCTCACTAAATATGCAAAGAGAAAATTCACAACACAATAACTAACGCAACAACAAAAACTTCAACTTTAATTCTACTCTCAAACTAGATTAGATCTTCGTGCTTTTAAGTTTATTATAAAACTTTTTCTGTTATTTAAAAAAAAAAGACATATCAAATATATTTATTCAACGAAGTTCAGTTTAAAATTTTAGTAAATTTCGTCATATTAACGACCCTTCAGTACCAGAGTTAGACCTAATCCATGATATAAAAAAGGCCCGATTACTCGTTTAAACAACAGTAAATTGCAAAGCCCTAAATTATCTTCTTAACACCAGGCCCTAAACTGTGTCTTATAAAGCCCTCTATTTCAGCCCTCTATTACGGTCAGCAATACAGGAAGACACAAAAATCGTAAAGTCGCAATCTTTATATTTAATTTAATTAGGCCTAATTATATATTGTATATGGAAGTTTTTCTTTAAAGCCTTTAACTTCTAAAACGAATTTCTTATCCGAATAAATAGTAATGAAATGTAAAAATTCTCTTACCCCGGAGGATGGTGCAGGGGTCGATAATCTCCACCATCAAAAACATCTTCGAATCGCTTTCTAAATCGCACTCTTTGTCCAAGAGCAAAACAACGCAACAACAACAACTTTAATTGTTGAATTCCTTTGTTACGCGTTAAACCAAGAAGAAAGAGAATTTAATGAATAATTTTAAATTATAATTTCAGAATCTGACGCGTGTATAATAACGATTAAAAAACCACGTCACACCGGTGTGGGGATAGGGGTTAGAATAAGGACGGTTCGAAAAATGCACGTGGTGGTGCTGACGTGATCGCGGCACGAAATACAAACATGTAAGTATGAACACTTTGCGTTAACCAAGACCGTACACGGGAATATAAAACGAAATTAAAGCAAATACTTGGTGAAAATACAACAAGAAGTTGATATTTATACCGTAATATCGGGAGAGATGATTATTTAATTAATGGCCATTTATAGAAATGATTCTATACAATTATAAAACTAAGCGTGTATTGTAACATGGATCTGATGAATCACACCCGCCGAATAACTATTTAGTCGGCAACTTCAATATTTATTAAACTGATGCGTAATGTCACCAGAAAGGTCATGCTAAAATTCCGTTAGTTCCCTCCAAATTTTTATATGCTTAATTTAATACAAAATCAGCTGAACATTTGTGAAGTTGTGGCAAATCTTTCTCACAAGAAGTGTTTGAATTTATAACTATAATCATACGTTAATTTTGTTATTGCAACCGAAGACTCAAACCAAACAGGTGCACTCATTTTAAAAGAATAATCACATTGTCTAAGATACACTTCTCGTTAGCCCTGTTATTGTATTTGGGAAACGTGTTCATTTACTCATATTTTTCATTAACGGAGCCAGTGCCAAATCTTTAACTACCAAGTTTTTCGCATATTTGTGTTGTATGGACAATAGATTCGGCAAGGTATTCAAACATTGTAATAGAGTCTCATTAGTTATATCAATGTAGCATAGACACGAAATATTTGAATTTCGTTTTTTAAATCGCCACCTTTATATCCCGATTATATTCGTTATTCGATGCTAAATCTAAATCCATAAATTATTCATAAGGTCGTCCTCGTGTTTAATATAGAAATGTTGCGAAGGCAACCAAAAATGACACTTTGCTCTTCAAAAGGTACAGATTATTCCTTGATATATTATTGCTAAAAACAATAGTTCCTATGGAACTGTGTTTCGGGAATATTTGTACGCGTATCCGTTTCTTCGTAATCAAATAAACGTTCTCGTTTTCTCCATCCGAATACAAGAANCACTGGAGGTTGGTAAAATGACTTAGGCAAATGTCATTAAACTGAGCAGCAATATGGCCAGTGTGAACCTTTACAGGATGTTTCTTTTCAATAAAATTATTCACTGCATTTTGCTTTCTGTCCTTCACTTCCACCAGCACTTTCACTGGAGAGAGGTCACTTGGTAAAATTCTATCCAAAGAGGTTTGGCTTTACCTACTTTTTAAAATATTTCTAAAATGACTTAGGCAAATGTCATTACTTAGAGCAGCAATACGGCCNAAAATGACACTTTGCTCTTCAAAAGGTACAGATTATTCCTTGATATATTATTGCTAAAAACAATAGTTCCTATGGAACTGTGTTTCGGGAATATTTGTACGCGTATCCGTTTCTTCGTAATCAAATAAACGTTCTCGTTTTCTCCATCCGAATACAAGAAGAATTTTTTTTACCATTTTTCTGCGTTATAAATGCTTAAACGTGATACAGGGAATGTATCACGTTTACGGTGATACATTCCCATACTGTGGTTTAATGTATTTTCTGTAAAAAACTTTTTTTTTAACTCTTTCTGCCCTGTGGGTATTGAGAGGGCCTCATTTTGCAAGCCCATTATGGGTTCGGCCAGGCCCACAATGGGGCTGCCGGGTGGTGAGGAACGTGGCCAGATATATACGAAAAATTCCTGGNAAAATGACACTTTGCTCTTCAAAAGGTACAGATTATTCCTTGATATATTATTGCTAAAAACAATAGTTCCTATGGAACTGTGTTTCGGGAATATTTGTACGCGTATCCGTTTCTTCGTAATCAAATAAACGTTCTCGTTTTCTCCATCCGAATACAAGAATTTTTTTTTACAATTTTCTGCGTTATAAATGCTTAAACGTGATACAGGGAATGTATCACGTTTACGGTGATACATTCCCATACTGTGGTTTAATGTATTTTCTGTAAAGAACTTTTTTTTAACTCTTTCTGCCCTGTGGGTACTGAGAGGACCTCATTTTGCAAGCCCATTATGGGTTCGGCCAGGCCCACAATGGGGCTGCCGGGTGGTGAGGAACGTGGCCAGATATATACGAAAAATTCCTGGGGATTTTTCGACCCGTTCGGATTCGAGCCCGGGTCCCCCAGAGCGGTAGGCTGCCACCTTGACCGCTCGACCATCCGGCCGTTCCTGTAAAGAACTACATCATGTTACCGCGTAAAGCTTAAAAAATCAAAACTAAACTCCTGAAGGACGGCCCACCTTTAGTAACGGAGCCCGTTGCCCGGGGAAATACGGCATTACAGCATCACCTGTATTGGACGACCACCTGTCTAAAAGATCACTTTTTGAAGAAAACGTGGGTGGTGATCTCCATAGACAAGTTTTACTGTATTTTGTCTCTCACTTTTAAACTTCAATTATTCCGAACATAATTAAAAATTATTTCTAAAAATGTTTAACTTAATATACTGTAACTTCTTTCTGAATCTGATTTCTGTTTTGAACTCACACTGCTCATTTAAATGCTAAGCAGTGATATATCACTGAAACTTTGGCCTCAAGACGGCATCCACGCGTTAGAGGGGCCATACTCTGTTTATATTGGGCTCTAGGAATTACATGTCACTCAAATCCAAGCTGTCCAGTGAAGCCACAAAAACTTTGATATCATCTCATCTCACGATAATGTACACCATTGACAGTAACTGCATTTCAACCTTTAATCACTCTATTGGTTCAAAATCCACGCCAAATTGTCACTCGTTGGGCACGCATCGGTTGTTCTTGAACAACATAAAGATTTTCCATGCGACAAATGCAACAATTTTACATGTTAATGTACCCGTCAAGGTGGAAATGTGACTAAACAATAAAAATAATTTTCTTAGCAAAATTGTGTTTACTTGCTGATTCTCCAGCACCCAATCGATATATACTGACGCACCAAATAGTCGTTTGGCTTTAGCTGTTGAGTCAGTTGAATCTGGAATGGTGCAGATGCAGATCCGCTGCCTGGTGCTTCTCGAAATGTCCAATTCCAGCGACCGGTAGCGAATTGATGTTTCAAGACACTCAGCCACACTATAGCTCACAGCAGTAATGTTTTCGGCCGACCAGTAGTACAAGGAGGGTTGCTGTTCATAATCAAGCTACACCTACTTTGTTCAAATTTTTGAATCAGTCTTTGCAGTCACTTCATGTGGCACGTTTCTAGGAACGAAAATGCCACGTAATTTGCGCTCAGTCGAAGCAAAACTTTTCCCGTACTTATAATAAGTTTTCGTAATCATTATGCGCCCCTCCATCGTGTATCACTACATAGCAATTACCGGTAATTTCAATGTGTTTACAATATGTCACTTCATATAATGCTACAACCCAATAGAAAAACATGACATGCAATTTAAATCCTGCATTAATTTTGGGGCACTCTTTGTATGTAAGATGATGATTAATAGTATATAAGACTTTCCTATTTTAAATAAAACATTTTATTTCCAAATAATAAGTGCAACACGTATTAAAGAAGCGCTTCTCAAGCCTTTTGTGTTCACGGACCAGTTTTTTCCTCATTCCAATACTTCGCAGATTAATACTTTTGTGAAATAAAAAATTATAAAACGTATCAGCGCTGGTCAGCGATATGCGAAATAGGTCACTGGCAAAGGTCTCAGCGTCAAATTAGCCCCCGAACTTAGTTTTTTCTTTCCTATGAATCGTTTGTTGATGTTTCTTTGTCTGTTAAAATTAGGGTTTCTCATTTCCTAGTCCTTTGCTTGTCCCAGGATTCCGAGAAAAAAGTAATCTGTTTCCCGAGTTATAATTAATTGTTTTTAAGATATAAAATAAATCTTGAAATCGAATGATAATTTATTTTTCTTTTTTAAAGTAACTTAATACGTCCTGCAACTTTGAAAATAATAATAATAATAATGTTGTGTAAAATATGTATGAAAAATGACCTTTAAATTACGTAGAAATTTTCACAAATAGAAAAAATTTTTTAGTTTATTGGAAACTGCTTACAGCATTAACAACAACAAAATGCCTTTGAATTGAGTTGAAAATTAAAAGAAAAAAATGAACTTAGAAGGTAATTTTCGTTTTTCAAATAAAACATAACTCGTACAAAATATTATTGTAAATTTTCATAAGATTTTAAAAAGAAAATATGGTCAATACTTCGAACACTCAGATTCTTATTTTAGTAATGAAAAATCCTGCTATCGAGAATGCCCTTTTCGATTCAATTGACGTGGGTGGAATCTTCTTTAATGCATTTAAGAGAAGACGGACATTGTGTCCGTAGCCTGGAAGATTTTGAGTTCATTTTCGAGATGTGTTATAGTACTTCTTTTCCCGTCTAGTATCTACCTCGGCTGCTTTAACAGCGGCATCAAGCTTACAGCCTGATAATTCAGCTTTATGAAAAAAGAACTTCATACCCGTTTGTATTCTTGCCCAATCTGCACAACCTGGCATTATGTAGTTATTCAAGCTACTGAGCATGGTTAAAAATTAATAGAGCATCAGCGCAATTATTCAAGATATTACAGGTTCTGACAAATAAAGAATTTTCAGTCCTGCCACAAATAGACTACATACGGATTAACAATCTGTGACATGCCGTAACGAGCAAAAATTTTAAAAACTAATAAACAAGCTTAAAATTAATAAATATACTGTAAATGTATTCTGACAGTTTGCGTTAATTATACTTTCTATTTGCAAAATTTCCTCAACCTTAACACAAAATGAGAAAAAAGTGAACTTTTAAGAAATTTGCGGTATTTCCCGGGATCCTGTTAGAGAAACCCTAGTTAAAATCGTTTATTAGTGAATATTTAAAATAAATTGGATAAATCATTTCATTATTTTTTGACTATACAAAACAACGAAGATAAACTCTCTCGCTATTGACAATACTGTAATTCTGTTATGGTGTATTTATGATATTAGTTAGATGCAACAAAAGATATCAAATGTCTTGATACAAATTCTTCCGCGAAAATAAATTATATCCGGAAACATGTCACATGCTTGGATGTGTGACGTTTCGGCGTAGTCACGTGACATACTTTGTTCACGCCGCCGTCCAGCTTGCTGCCCCACAAGCTCAAGACATGGGTCCCGAAAGGCACACAGTCGGTAAGTAGTCCTATGAATCTTTTGTTTATGGCACTTTATATGTGGGTCGAGCGAAAAAATTCTATGCGTTTTGGAAATTTAAATAAGTTTCTTTTTAAAATAAAATTAAAAGAAAATCGCGTCCTGGTCTTAGTAGAAATAATTATTACCTTAAAATATTTAAAGTCAATTCATTAAAGGATTTCATGATAAGTTGGAAATGTTCCAACTCATACAACAAATAAACACTAATAATAAATATAATTTTCATGAATACTTTATTTTCAATTAACATCTTTTCATTGTGAAAAATAATTTTAGCAATAGTGAGATTCTTGCGTTTACAATGAATTAGATTAAATTACAGAATTTACAATATTTACGGATAATTTCAAATATCAAGAAAAATATGTAGGCTAATTATTATAATTTGATTGTTCAAAATTAAATACGTAAAAATAATTTTTTCAGACATAGCTCTTGTTGATTTCGAAAAAATCACAAACTTTTATAAAAAGAAAGAAAACCAGAAATGAATTTTGATACATTAAGATTTTTTTTGTACAAAATTCGTTTAAATATATTTATATCAAAGCAGTGGTATTTATATACCACATATATGCTACATTTGTTGTTTATACAACAAATACAAAGTAAAATTGAGAATCTAAAGGATATAAGAATACGATATGATTTATGTAATAAATCTAAATCTTTTAGTTTTAATTTAATTTTAAATGTTTTTGTTTTGGTATTTTTGAAACCGTGCCAGTAATTTATTTAAATGTTTTCTTAAGAGAACAGAATGATATATATATACATATCATTCTGTTCTGATATGTATATATATATATATCATCAAAATATATATAAATGGATTGCTGTGTATTAGTTAATATGACGATTTTTAGTCTCTGTAATCCAAAAATATTCTTGGTAGACAAATCTCACAGCAAGTGAGATTTGTCTACCAAGAATATTTTTGGATTACAGAGACTAAAAATCGTCATATTAACTAATACACAGCAAACCATTTATATATAATTTAATCTAAGACTATATATACACTTGCTGTGAGATTTGTCTACCAAGAATATTTTTGGATTACAGAGACTAAAAATCGTCATATTATATATATCATTCCGTTGTGTGTATTGCTGTTTTGCTTTATTATTTAAAATATAGATTTTATATATTAAAGTGTTTGTATTGTAATATATATTTTATATATACTGTATAGAGGAGAGGTGGCTAATATGGAATACCGAGGTTTCAGCTCTGTTGCTGCTATTATGTGAGAATACCATGAACTACTCAAGAAAGACTCCCACGCTGCAATGCAGTGAGAGTTGACTGCTTGTTGTTGTCGTACCACTCGCTACAGAACAAAGTGTGTTTTGTGATTTTCAAGAGTTTTTGCAGGCAAGTTTTCAAACATTTTAACCTACTAGTACACATGTGACTTGAACATCGATGTTAAGCATAATGTACACTAAAAGAATTGTAGTTTGTTATATTGTAGTCGTTTTTTAGCTAACAATGTTTTGTCTATCAGTTTAACGGTTCATTTTCCAAGATGACGTGTCGGGTATTATGGAATACTAGGATAAATGGATAAACTGAAAGAAAAAGCCAAAAAGAAGGAACTAGAAGCTTCAAAACAACAAAAGAAACCAAACATTCAAAGACCACCTGTTAAGAAATTAAACTTAGACCGACCTTCTAGACCTAAACTTACTAGAGATGACTCCAGCATTAGCAGCGGTGAATCGTTTCATTCTGTTGTATCATCTGTAATGGACTTCATGCCATCAACTAAAGAACCAGAAAACGAAGACGCTGAATGTATCTTCTGTAACAGAAAATTCTCCGAAGATGAACGAGGGAAAATTTGGATTCAATGCTTCAGCTGTTCTCTATGGGCTCACCTTGATTGTACCGGAGCAAAGAAAATTATATCTATGACTTTTGTAAATAGACTCGAAACAGAAATGACATTCACATAATCTTAAAAATATGGTTTTTATAGTTAAAAATAACTATGTTTTATGAAGTATAATTAGTTTTTCAATGGTTTAAACCCTCTATTTCATATTACCCGACTATTCCATATTACCCTCCATTTGTGACTTTTTTTAAATATATTTTTTTATAACAACAAAATAAGTATTATTTTTTTTACAAGTGGCAGTTCATTACAATTAGTTATAGTATTTACTCATGATGATTTTGGGATTTTTATTCAAAAATCAGTAAAGTTATTTTTAGAAATGTAAATGGTATTCCATAATACCCTCCTCCCCACTATATATATATATATTTATTTATTTATTTAAATCAACAAATAAATTTTTGCAACATTTTAAAATTTTATATTAAAAAGGAAATATTTCAAACGACAAAACTTTGCCAGTGATAAAGGTTTGTGTTCCAACATCACAAGTTTTCGTTTGTAATTTTGTATTGCTCGTTTGTTTGTGGTCTGTGAAAGTTCCGTTCCGAAATCTCTCTCTTTCGCAATCTATTTCTTTTATTTCCGACGTTTGATTCGACGAGACTAATAATTTAGTTAAGTCTTTCAGAGTTTCCAAAACTGCCGGTTCAATACCATCATTAACCTGGAAAAAAGATAATTGTTTAATTAACCTCTTCGGTTACAATCAAGCTAAAAAATAAATTTAATATTTGACTTAAGATTTGTTTCACACCGATAATTCATTATTATTTAAAACAAACATTTTTATGCATTAATGGCTTTCATTACAAAACGAAAATGGCGAAGCTAGATTCTAATTTCCGACAATGGCAATAGTCATCTAGCCCAAATGAACCGATTTAAAAATATAAAAATTTTCTCAAGTGTTTTTGGCTGTTCTAGCAGATATCGTAGGATACACGCTAAAAAAATATTGGAGGATAACGTAGAATGTTGAAAATTCAAATTTACTTACATAGAATAAAATGCACATTACAATATAAATACAAAAGAATTTAGACAACTATCAATACAAATAAAAATAAATATTTAAATATATATGGGAAAGTCAACCAAAAACTTTCCCAGCACTCAAACAGGAAGTTAAGGGAACCATTAATAAATTCGATAATTTTCAATTATATTTCGATATAAAATTTTAACTACTAAGAAAAGCTTAAAAGGAGATACAGTGGTGCCTCGTATAACGTACGCCTCGAATAACGGACGTTGCGAACAACGAACTTTGTTTGGCCATTACGTGACTCGAGCAACGGACTGGCTGCGAACAACGGACTTTCCGTTCGACAGTTACATCAGGCTAACAATGGACTTTCTGCGAACGAGTGCAAATGATGTTTCCACTCTTTTGCCGTTGCCAATGACAATCTGCTATTTTTATAATATATTAATATTGTTAGAATATATTATTAGTATATCTGAAGTACAGAGCTCCCGTTGGGATTCGGCTTGCTCCCTTGTTTATTACGTACATAACCTCAGTGCAGGGTATTTACATTTATTCAAGTGTTGTGCAAATTATGGCTTCTAAAAAAACAGAAAGGTGATTTCAATTGAAACAAAACAAGAAATCATCAGAAGGAATGAAACTTGACAGAAACTTCCTTGTCAAATGTGGACAGGTTCAGGAGTTTACCAACACTCATTATCCAAACACAGTTGAGGCCAACAGAATCAATGATCTCTACAATGACACCCTTGCCCGTCATCTCCGACAGGTGTTGAAGAAGAGAGAGAAACAGATCACTTTGGACCTGTTTTTCAAGAAGCCAGCTGCCAAAAGACAAAGGATGGAACAAGAGGAATTGACCCTGAAAGCCCCAGTAGCCTCTCCTGAATCTGACTCCGATTAAAAAACAATAAAAAGAGAATGCTGCAATGTGTAAAAAGTGTGAGATAAGCAGCGGGCCACATGTTAATCCCACAATGACCACTTACTCTGCACGGGCTCGTGAAGCCCGATCTCGGCGTCGTAGGAGGGCAAATCGAGTGGGGAGTGGCTGGGTAAGTTGGCAGGTGCCGGTTAGACAGGAGACAGGTCAACAGAATAACAAGCATTTATTAATTAACAATACTAAGTTACAAAACTACTAAAGCTAAATGCAATTATATTAAAGTATATACAGAAATTGGTGATTACGTTCTTAGATAGGTCGCTTTCCTAGTTTCTATTTTCTAGTTCAGAGAGAGAGCGCTTTTATAAAATCTAATCCCTAAATACCTCTAGGTGGACGGGAGAGTTGGCGAACGTCATCTGTATGGAAGGGTGTGGTGTCTTCTATGTTTTCTCCGACGTGATCGCAGTCCTTGGCATAGAGATCGACGAACACAAGTACTAAGAATACCTTCCGTGTGCGGACGCGTCTCGAGCTTCTAGTGATCTCCCCTTTTATATCTTTTCGTGCGAGAGCCGACACGTCATCGCCTCTTTGTTGACGATGACAGTGCAGTCTTCACACTTAACTGTCAACTTCCTCAACTCGTTACAAACTCGGTAAAATTCGATATAGTTTAAATTCCTCGGGTTTTTTCTCGAAGTTAATTAACCGAAAATTTAAATGTTTAAGCGGCCCTTGTCTGTATCTGTATGAATGTGTGAATAAAGTGATCCTCCACCTCCTTTTCACAACATCTGACTACCCGGCATAATTGGTGACTGCTCCATTTTCATTTTTTTATGGTACAGTACAGTTATTTTGTGCTGCAGAACGAATTATATGTTTTAACATGTATTTCTATGGGAAAATGCATTTCGTATAACGGACTTTTCACTTAACGAACGTTCACCTGGAACGGTATGTTAAGTATGTTATACGAGGCACCACTGTGCTTTATTGAATTATGATAAAAATTTCCATTTAAAAAACACCATGAACTAACTCAAAATTAAAATTGTGTGTGACGCCATCTGTAACGAGATGTTAAAAAATTATTATAAAAAGACAAAGGCTTAATTTTGTGGATAAAGATGGAGTTTTTAAAAAAATTGTAAATGCCAATAACGAGTAAAATTTTCATGAAGTCCTACCCTACCTGAGATATCATTCAAGCCCCACTTTATATCCCCACCTCTCGACATTTAACCACCAAAATTTAATAGCATCAATGTCCCCTATATACAAGTCACCGTGCCAAATTTGGCATCCGAACTTGTATACAGTAGACCCCCTATAAAACAGGTTCCTATAATTACGATTCCTATAAGACAGCAAAAAAATTGCTACGGTATCCGTAAAAAATGGTAAAAAAACTCCTATAATTACGTAAAACGTCATCAGGCAGCCGAACTACTTTCCGCGCCGTCAAGCGCCACGCTACGGAGAGATTACTATCGTCTGTACAGTATTATATATAAATTAGGTATTGTATATATAATTATATATTAACTTAATTTATTGTAACTTTATTATAATTATATATATATTTTCCGCCGCCTGGCGCCACGCTACGGAGAGTTTAGGCGAACTATCGTCTGTACAGTATGTAAATTAGGTACCGTAAGTCTAATACAGTACTGTAATTTTATACATTTCTTGTGAAAGAAACATTTCTTATTCAACGGCGATAAAAATTATTTATATTAATGATGTCTCCAAAGTTCAGCGAAGTTTTCACAGAAAAATAAGTTATTAGAAATCGGCCGCGGTTTGCTGAGTTGTTCCGCGCAGAAAACAAGCTTGAGCAATGGCGATGTCAAATGGTGCACACTCTGTAAGTAATCCTACAATTTTTTGTTTATAGCATAGTTTATATGGATTATTTCCAAAAAAAAATATACGTATTTTGGAAATGTTGAGTCGGATTAGTCTAGAATCGATTAATTTTATGGAAGAAAACCTTTCAAACAGCCGTAGTCCGTAAACTTCACACGTGTTGGGCTGTGATTGGAAGGATTCGTAAGAAATCGGATTCCTAAAGAATGGAACGTATCTACTGTCTTATAGGGGAGTCGACTGTATATGGTATATCGTTTCTAAATCTTTACCAAATCCTGAGATATTAAGTGAAATAGACGCCAATACACATGGGAAATGACATCTGTCTATTTTTTTTTATTATTAAGTTTTTTGTAAAAATTTCAAATTATCATTTTGTTGTTATAATGAAAATTAAACAAAATACACTACTTATCAATTTCATATATACAAATACCCATTTCTTGCTACAATTTACTTTCTAGAGTTTTATTTTTAAAATATTTATACTTACTCTACATAAAAGCAACCTGCTTTGGACTCTGGATATTAAAAGTTCTTTACTAAAAATAACTTGAATTTGTTTGAGAAGAAAAACTTCAAACTGTTGCTCTGGAATATAACTTGAATTCTAAGAAAGTTGCTCACATGCTTGACAACTTACTTCTAGTTACTACAAGTCAGTGTGGCCCCCAAATATAAAATGAAATAATTTAAAATATATTTTAAATTATTTCATTTTATAATAATTTAAAATATATTTTAAATTATTTTATTGCTAGCCATAAATGCTTCACTGTTTGCTCACCAGCCAGGCCATACTTTAAGAGATTGATGTTTCATGTAATAAGCCAACTACTACTGAATTATATAGGACTATTATATCATGATTATCTTAAATTAATTACTAAATAATTTGTCACTAGAGTGATGCATTAGGCACCATCTCTCATTATATTTAATAATTATAAATAAATTAAATAATTTAAAAATTTCCGGAAGAAAAGAATCGGTTTGGAGCTGGAATAGAAACCACAACTGCAATCTCCCACATACTGTGAAGATGTGTTGCCAGTTATGCTAACCGAGCCTCCAGTCTGATCTCTTCCAGTTATATTTAAACACAAGATAACCATCCTTGGTTACATCCTTGGTTTTTCTTCGAGAATTTTCTACATTATTTAATTTATTTATAATTATTAAATTTAATAAGAGATGGAGCCTAATGCCTCCCTCTAGTGACAAATTATTTAGTAATTAATTTAAAATAAATGCAATGTAATAGCCTGAGATAATCCATAGTTGTTGGCTTATTACATACAGTAGATCCCCCTATAAGACGGTAGATACGTTCCGTTCTTTATGAATCAATTTTGTAGGAATCATAGTTTACGGACTACGGCTGTTTGAAAGGTTTTCTTTCATAAAATTAATCGATTCTAGACTAATTCGACTCAACATTTCCAAAATACGTATATTTTTTTAAAAATAATCCGTATAAACTACGTTATAAACAAAAAATTGTAGGATTACTTACCGAGTGTGTACCCTTTGACTACGCTCGTTGCTAAAGCTTGGTTTCGTCGCGGAACAGCGCATCAAATTGCGGCCGCGATTTCTGATATTATTTTTCTGCGAAAACTTCGTTGACCTTTGGAGACATCATTAATATAAATAATTTTTATGGCCGTTAAATAAGAAATGTTTCTTTCACAAGAAATGTATAAAATTACAGTACTAAACAGACGATAGGTCGCCTAACTCGCCGTAGCGTGACGCTAGACGGCGAAAAATATATATTTAATTATAATAAAGTTACAATAAATTAAGTTAATATATAATTATATATACAGTACCTAATTTATATATAATTAATATATAATTATATGTACAGTACCTAATTTATATATAATTTATATAATACTGT